GTGGGATGCACAAAAGATGCTTGCTGCTGCAGGAAAAGGACTTTAGGACATTTCTGCATGCAGTTGGTATACTAAGGAACAGAAGTATGAATGTGAAGTAGTAACATCAACCTCTCAAGGCATTTATTTATTGGAAGAAAAAAAAAAAGGCTAAGGAAAGCAGTTTGTAAATAACTGAAATACAGGATGCGATGTCATTTAGATGATTGAAGAGGAGTGGAATTTGGCTTCAATAATAACTTGTTTCTCCTGATGAAAACCTGTCCTTCAAAATCTGTTGGTTTTTTTGAGCTGATAAATGTGTCTTGTTCCCGTTGATCAACAGAAAACTTGAACGCAGAGAGGTCCATGCCAAGTAATTTTCTTTTAAAAGGCAGAAAATATTGTACGTTCTTGGTGTCCGTTTGCTACCTGTAAACAAAATTACGGGTGCATGGATATCAAAGCTAATTATAACACACTGATAACTTGTAGGAGAGTTCAAGAGATCTGTCTCCCAGATGTGTTTTCAACTAGGAAAACATTACAGAGATCTGTGAAGCAGTGCTTTGTAACAGCAGCTACTTGAAATAACAGGTTTTCACTGTATGCCTGCAGAAAGCCTTTGTTTTTTGATAGACACGCATAATTAAAAATGTTTTTAATTAAGCAGACATTTTTCATGCTTGAAGGTTCTCTTGAGGCATCTGTTAAAATGAAAGTATTCTGTCCTCAGGAGATTCTAAAGCAACAGAGTCTACGGATGTTTGAGCTGGTCCAGAAGCACCCTCCGCACTGGCCTCCCTTCATACCGCCAGCAAAGCCAGAAGTGACGACCACAGGAGCAGGTGCGGTCCCGACGGGCAGCGCGCCCCTGCAGCCCAGCGTGCCTCGGTAGCAAACCGAAGGCTAATCACAGGTGGAAGAACTGCGCTTTCCTCGGAGTCCAGCAGTCACCACCTGATTCAATGCCTGATTCTTACAGAATATCAGCCAGTTAGCCAAAGAGGCCGCATTACAATTGCTAGCACAGATATATAGAGATATATATATATA